CAGTGGGAGGTAACTGAATCATAAGGTTGGTTAACCCCATGCTCCCATGCTGCTGTTCTCATGATAGTGAGTTCTCACAAGATCTGATGGTTTTATAAGGGGCTTTCACCCCTTTGCTTGGCACTCATTCTCCTTCCTGCTGCCATGTGAAGGATGTGTTTGCTTCCCCTTCCACCATAATTGTAAGTTTCCTAAGGCCTCCCCAGCCCTGAGGAACTATGAGTCAATTAAACCTCTTTTCTTTATAAATTACCCAGTCTCAGGTATGTCTTTATTAGCAGCATGAGAATACACTAATACACTGTTCAACAGCAGAAAAATGCAAATTAGAACCACAATGAATTATGACTACAAATCTACAAGAATAACTAAAATAAAAATAGCAAGTTGCTGCTGGCAAGGATGCAGAGAAACTGGATCATTTATACATTGCTTATGGTAATGTAAAATGGTACCACCACTTTGGAAAATAGTTTGGCAGTTGCTTATGAAACTAATATGCAACTGCCATACCATTAGTTGTTTCAGAAAAATGAAAACAGGTTCACACGAAAACCTGTACACTGGTGTTCATAACAGCTTTATTTACAATAGCTCAAAACTAGAAACAACTAGGTACCCTTGACTGGGCAAACTCTTAAACTGCGGAACATCCATACCACAGAATACTACTTGGCAAAAAAAACTAAAAAAATTATTTACATTTTTCTATCTGCTTTCCAACTTTCTACATACTCGGGTTGGACTAACAACTTGGATAAATCTCCAAGGAACAAAGCCAGTCACAAAAGGTTACATAGTGTATGAATCCATCTATGTAACATTCTTGAAATGGCAAAATTATAGAAATGGAGAACATGTTAATGATTGCCAGGGGTGAGGGAAGGAGGTGGATGTGGCTATAAAAGGGCAACATGAGGAATCTTTATGGAGACGGAACTGTTCTGTATCTTAATTGTGTCAATGTCAAAATCCTGATTGTGATATTATCCTACAATTTGTAAGATGTGACCATGGGGGGAAACTTAATAAAGGATACATGGGATCTCTCTATATTATTTCTTACAACTGCATGTGAATCTACAATTATCTCAAAATAAAAAGCTTAATTAAAAGAAACTACACTGGTACCTACAACTTTCCTCCCTCTTCAAAATGTTTTTCAGTCTGTTTTCTTCACCTTAGAATCTAAACTCTTTCAAGAACTATTAAATGTTTTGTAAAGAAATATCTATCTTAAGTTTAATAATTCTGCAATTCCAATTTCAAATTATTTTTCTGATAAATTCAAATATAATATGTACATTAAAGTTTAAAGTAACTAATATGGCATTTTTTCAAAGGTATTCTTTCTTTATTGTTCTTGGTATGTGTAAGTGTATCTGACTATGGTTCTTTTTGTTTTTTTTTTTTTCATAAAGGAGCCATATGAAGTGATACACGCCCAAAATAGATAAAAGTTATTCTGGGATGTAAGCTCTAGAATTCCATCAACATTTTCCTTTACATTTGTATGTATTACTTACATTCTTAAAATGTGTATAAAAGTGTAATTTAGGCCAGGCATGCTGGCTTATGCCTGTAATCCCAGCACTTTGGGAGGCCGAGGCGGGTGGATCATGAGGTCAGAAGATCAAGAGCATCCTGGCTAACACAGTGAAACTCCGTCTCTACTAAAAAGACAAAAAATTAACCAGGCATGATGGTAGGTGCCTGTGGTCCCAGCTACTCGGGAGGCTGAGGCAGGAGAATGGCATGAACCCGGGAGGCAGAGCTTGCAGTGAGCCGAGATCACACCACTGCACTCCAGCCTGGGCGACAGAACGAGACTCTGTCTCAAAAAAAAAAAAAAAAAAAGTGTAATTTAACATGATAATGTATATATGTATGTATAATTAGCATTCATCATTAGCTAGATAATCAGTCTATAGATTATAATTATACCTTCATTTTATGACCTCATGTACATTCATAAATACTGACTATATTTTACAGCATTAGAAAAAACACCAAAGAAATTTTCAAAAAGTAACAATAGTATAGACAATGCAATAAAAGTGGACACTTTTTAAATAGAAGAAGAACACCTAAAGGTATTATCTCTATAACTATTAGTCCAATCTGAGTATATGGAAAGTTGGAAAGCAGATGGAAAAACAGTAAACTCTGAGACATGGGTTTGTAGGCTATTCTTACCCTTTTTGTAGTTTTCTGTATTCATATTTTATAAAATATAAACATAATGTGTTTTTATTAAACAATATAAATTTATGTGTACAATAAATCCTGATATCAATGAGTTTAGACTAAATTATACTGTAGTAACAACCCCAGATCTTAGTGGATTACAAGAGAAGTTTATTTCTCAACCACATTACATGTCAATTATAGACTGGTTTCTACCCTACTTCTTGTCATCTCCAGGAATCTAGGCTGAAGAAGCAACTTCTATGTCAGTCTCAAGGCCAAAGGAAAAGAGAGGCTGGGAAGACCATGTGGTGTCTCTTAAAACACCCTCTCAGAAATGCCACTTTTGCTCACATTCCATTGGGCAAAATAAAACATTTGGCCAAATCTGAAGTCAGCAAGGTGGAAATATTTAATTCTTCCTTTGGGAGGGACCCTAATAGAAAAGGGCAGCATACATTTTGAATAAAACAATCTATCACAAGCCCAAGTTTTTTATATATATCTATGTACAGGCATATTTGTGTGTGTGCATGTGTACACGTGTGCGTGTTTATATATTTTTTCATAGATAAATGATCAGAAAGAAACACAATACGATGTAAATGGAGGTCCTAAATTTTTTTTGATATGCAAATAAAAAAGAAGCCCTTAAGTTTGTTAATAAGGAGTTCAGTGTGACCCAAGTCAAGAAAGCAGTTAGGCCAATAGCTAAATTGTAATAGGTGAGGAGATAAGAACTGAAAAAATAGACTGCTACTTAAGAAAAGAACAGAGATAGTATAGCAGCTTAAGCAGTTTAATGGTTTAAGTTTTTATAAGATGATAGAAATGAGACAGTATAGGGAAGGGATTCAGCCCTGGTAGACCACAGACATGGTAATCAAGACCCCATGAGCCTCACATATCAAGGCATATTCTCTCCCCTACCTTCCTGTCTCCCTTAATAAGCTGACCCAAGTCACATAGCAGAAGGAGGACCTCTCCTAACTTAGCTGACTAGGCTGAATTCCTAACTATCAAAAGAAGAAACTACTTGTTTATCTCCTTGAAGTGATGTCTCCCAAGGTTACTAAAAGTGAGAAACTAGCATTCCTGATAAGAACCTGACCATCTTTCAAGGTGAGTGAGGCTCTGGCATTCTCGATAAGAACTGGACCAGATCCAGTCTGCTGAAGACAAGACAGGCTCCTACACTGACCTTTCACTGATTTTTTCCTCATTATAATATCATTTTAATACTAACATCTCCAACAAAGGCAGGGCTTATCCATCATTTTCTGATCATGCAATGTATGTCAGAGCATGATGCCCCATTGTGCAAACACAAAGAAAATTTTGCCTAAACATGCTTGTACATCATTTCATTTTCTGCCTCAGCTTCTAAAATGACAAGAGTTGAGCCTCAGGGAGCTAGCACTGAGATACCTTTGCCGTAAACTGCTCCCTTGCTTTGATTAAGCCACAAGCCTATTAAACCTTCCCTGAGAAAAATGTCTCTTTGGCCTGATGTTAATTTCTACTTATGTGAGAGCCAAAGAACTTGAGATACAAGCTACAGTAATATAATTCTTATTTATGTTTACTGACTAGAGTAAAAAGTAAAGATTGCTGAGGGTTTAATAGCATCGAGAGTTAAGCCACAGAAGAATTCCTCTTCTACTGAAACAGTAGGATAAAGGTAAGCATGAATCTTATTATTGCAGATGAAGGGAAAGCCATTTTGTTAGTCCTTTAATTGAAAATATAAAAATGTCAAAGCCCTGTACACAGATAAAGGGAAAACAAAGATAAATAAGGCATAATTAGCCCTTGCAGAGCTTGCAATATAATAGAGGGCACAAAGTGAAATAACCATTTTAACATTAAAAACAGTGCTATGAGAATACATATGAATATAGTAAGCTCACAACTATAAGATGAAAGATGTGTGAGATTTTCCAAGATAGAAAAGGATGAAAGGAATTAAATGCAGAAAACAAAGTAAATAAATTCTTAGAGGCTTGAAATTGAAAGTGTATGTTATCTAAGCTGTTGCAGAGTGATTAAGAGAATAGGTTGGAAGCCATACAAAAATAGACCTAGGTTTGAAATCTAGTCATTCTGCTCTCTTACTATGTAATCCTGAATAAGTAATGTAACCTCTGTCAAAATGAAGATAATAGTAAAGTATTGCATATAACATTGCTGTAAAGATTAAATTAAATGTAAGTAGGGTACTAAACACAGTTCCTATCTCATAGAAAGCAAAAAAAAATTAGTATTTGTCATTTATAGTGTGAATCAATTCACTTTGCAAACTGTAAAACACTACAGAGATAGCCTTTTTTTCTGAAACATGATGAATCTCTTCAAAAAAAGCATATCTAAATATATATGTTAGGAGGACCTCTCTTAACTTAGCTGGCTAGGCTGAATTCCTGACTATCAAAAGAAGAAATTAATTGTTTATCTCGTTGAAGTGACGTCTCCTAAGGTTACTAAAAGTGGGAATCTAGCATTCTATGTAAGCATTTTAATATGAAATATAAACATTTTATATATATAAGCATTTTAATATCAGATAATGTTACTCAAATACAGTATATTTAAAAACATTCCTTTTCTTAAAAGTACACTTATATTTACATGTGTTTTGCATTTACATTAGGAAATATTCTAAATGTTTCTAGAAAAAAAGCTTATGGGGAAAAACTATTTTCTCATCCCGTTACCGAAATTTATCAAATTATTTTATAATATGACATATTTCTAAAAACGCAAAATTGCCCTAAACCTTACAATCATTTTGTCTATAATGCAAAAAAACCTACTTTCTCTTCTCTTTCGATTTCAAGTTGTTTCTTAACAGACAAAAGTTCAGCTTTGAGATTGGATAGTTCAGTCTCCTAAAGAAAAAGAAACACAAAGTTTAGAAGAGCTTCCATATATTTCTCAAGACAATGAAAATATAAACTAGTGCTCTGAGTAAATTCAATATTACAGAGAAATAAATTCACTCATAAAATATAGATACTTTTAAAGTCAACGGATATAAAGGCTGCTAGCTTAACATAGCTAAAAACCTCATTTAAACAAGTTTTTGGGCTGGGCGCAGTGGCTCATGCCTGTAATCCCAGCACTTTGGGAGGCAGAGGCAGGCATATCACTCAAGGTCAGGAGTTTGAGGCAAACCTGGCAAACGTGGTGAAATCCCGTCTCTACTAAAAATATTAATACAAAAATTAGCCGGGCATGGTGATGTACACCTGTAGTCTCAGCTACTTGGGAGGCTGAGACAGGAGAACTGCTTGAACCCAGGAGCTGGAGTTTGCAGTGAGCCAAGATCCTGCCAGTGCACTTCAACCTGGGGGACAGAGAAAGACTCCATCTCAAAAAAAAAAAAAAAAAAAAAATCAAGTTTTTTACAGTTTTCTTTAAAGAAAAATTTAACACACAGTATATCTCTCCTCGTTCTCTCCCAATTTATCCCAGCCTCCTCTCCCAATTTCAATCAGAGCTCCAAACTTATTTGTTAACTGGAGTTTATAAAATTTCACTTGAAAAAATAGTTTGTTCCCTATTTCAAAAACTAAATTAGAAAAAAACATGTAACTAGAAGATCTATAAGATCCCTTTCAGATTTAAGACTCTGATTCTATAGCTCAAAATTTAGTTTTACTTAATATTATTCTTTACCACCAGTCACTGCTGACATTATGAACACTGGCCGTTACTGCTATTTTTTCTGTATCTCACCAAAGATGCTCTCAGTGATGACTGTTCTTGTTCTTTGCTCTTATAAAGTCCTAATTCTGAGTCTCTTTCTTCAATGATCTTATCATATTGGTGCTATATTAAACAAAGAAGACATTTTAGATATATTAAAACTGAATAGATTATAAGATTGGTATCCTAACATATTTCAATATTTAATTTAGTATTTAATTAATTATTTAGTATTTAATTTAATTTTGCAGAAAATTATGTTTATAAATTCAGTAAGATATATGGGTATATATTTTTAATGTTTCAATTATATTTTTTCATTCAAACAACCTCAACAGTGAAACACACAACAGTCTTGAAAATGACCTAAGAGCAAAAGATAATTCTTTTACTGGAAACATTGAATTTTAACATTTAATAATATGCCAGAAACACCAGGACTTCTACAAAACTGGCTGATTTCAAATCTGGGACAGGAAATATAAGCCTTAAACATTTCGTCATAACTTAAAGAAAGTTGTCAGAGAAAATTAGAGTTAAGTCAAAAGGACTTGCCAGTCAGCTTGAAGAGGCTCCTGCTGGCCAAAGGTGGTAAAATGTGAGTTATCAATAAGGACAGATGCCGCACTGGATTGAAACATACCAAGTGTGTTTAAATCTATGAGTTCACAATGTTATTTAAATTTGTTTTTAAATCTTCACCGGTTCCCTCATAATAATCTCGTATTCCAGCAGCTTTTTTTTTTTTTTTTTAATGAATAGGTAGGTATACCCTACCTCTTCTCCAAATCTTAAGGGGAATGAGGCTTAATTCCTTAACAGATGGATACTCTAAAACAACAATTAAAAACATAAGACACAAAAACATCAAACACTAAGTATTTCATCTATTTATTCCTTTGATAAAAATCGATTTAGCCCATTATGTGTTAGATGTCAATGAGATACTTACCCTGGTTATGTACTTAAAAATACATAAGGTAGAAAGTGCTATAAGAGACTACTAGGAGAATCCAGAAAAAGAGTGATTACTTCTATTCATCACAGATAATAAAGAGCGATTTCCTCAAGGATGTGACACACAGGCTCAACTTTGTATGGTTAAGATCTGAACTTGGAGAAATGGGCATCAAGGGTACTCTAGCTATAGTAAGTCACTGTTCCAATAATCTTCTCTGACAAATTAGAATACTATCTTGATTGCACCATTATTTAACAGAAATATGGCTCCAATTAATAATTTTCATTATATAAGGAGAAAAAAATTACCTTATGTTTTTCCATAAGTGCTACCATTTCAGCTATTTTATGTTGACATCGTTTATCAATTTCTTTCTGTAATTTTACTGCTTCATCAGCTATTACTTTTGCTTTCTCAACCTATCAAATAAGCAAAAAAAAGTTTCTTAAAATAAATGCGCAAAAAACAAACAAGTGTAAAAAGCGTATGTTCTACTTAAATAAAAGCAAACCTCAAACACCAGGAAACTGGAAAAACAAGTAGAAAATGCACTGTTTGGGGTTTTTTCAGGGTGTTCTATGAAATAAGATGACAGTATACCACTGTGGCAATCATTTAACTCTTTCAAAATAATTATATACTCAAATACTTAGAATAACAAGGATACTTTTAGCTTCTATAAAAACTGATACACTGACTCTAATATAAACTTACCAAACCTTTTTTAAAATCATAATTTAAAAATTAAGAATTTTTTACTTTTCTCTTAAAATCCTAATAAAAATATAGATTTTTAGTATAATAAGTTCTTAATACTAAGTTTTTCCCACCTCTTCCAAAAGATTTTCTTCTGATATCTTTTTATCCTCAATTTCTTTCTGATAGGTGTCAGTGATTTCTCCAAATTTCTGTTTGGCACTTTCTAGTTCTAACTCTAATTTATTGACCTTTAAGTAAAGAAAAATAACATGAATATTAGTAAATGCTATGGATTACTTAAAAATATTCCATATTCATTTTGTGGTTTTGTGAATCTTAAAAGATTACTTATTCATGGAAATTATGGTTGGATCACTCGCCTTACATTTTCATACGGTGAGAAGTGTTTTATCTTCACAAAATCTATCTTCTCCCCTAAAATATGTATTTTGTCTTGACAAGTAACATAAAATAAACATCCATGCATTTATTTTTAATGAATTTCTCAACAATATTTACATTGGTTACTCTGTTTAATATGCTTTATTAGAATAAGTATTTCCATTGGACAGAAAACTCATGTGATTCAAAGAAAAGGCATTTTCTTAATGAGATTAATTTTCTATAAAGAAGCAACAACTTCCATTTATATTATTTTCACATACTTTGTATAAATATTTACTGAGTTGTGTAGATATAATTCAAATATAGAAATTATCAAGAGGGAAGGAAAGCCCTGAATTAGCACCCTTCATATTCACCTTTATCTTAGGGCTAACTTAATACTGGAAAGGTGTTATACAGCAGGGACAGGAATTGGGAAGAGGGTTATAGGTAATATAATGATGAATCAGACTGTATTTTGTATCCATGAGTCAATCATTGACTGTATATAGACCATTACCAATATTGATAAAAGCTATTAAATGCCCCTCCCTCTTCATTAGCTTTCCCCTACTGCCTTTTTAAGCATAAAAACCACTCTTAACTTATATTCCCTTACTCTTCTTTATAGATTCATTGCATAATTATGTATCCCTAAACAATATTTCAATTTTTTTTTGAACTTCATATAAATGTTGTCATAGTATATTATTTTTCTGGCTTGCTTTTCTCATTGAACAGTTACGCTTCAGATACTTATGTGTAAAAATACAGTTCGTTCATTTTCACTGCTGAGTAGTGTTCTATTGTATGAATATAACACTGTTTATTTATGTAATCAATTGTTCAGGGCACTGAGTTGTCCCCATTTTGGGACTGATACACACAATAGTGCTATGAATGTTCTTGTAAACATCTCCTGGTGAAAATGTAGAATTTCTCTACAGTATACACCTAGGATTGGAATTGCTGGGTCATAGGGCAGGTTACATATACAACTTTACAAAATGACATTATTTTCCATATGCATTTATACCAATTTAAATTCCCAGCAACAGGGTTATGACTTTTCCTGCTTCAAAACCTCACCAAGAGTTGATACTGTCACATAAAAGTATTCAACTGAAGTTTTGTTGTATTATTTGCATTTTCCAGAAAATTATGTAACATGTTTAACTCTTCATGTTTTCTGTTCTGTGACCATCTCTGTTCATATATTTTACTCATTTATCTACTTGGTGCTTCATTTTCTTCTTACTTACATTTAATGGGTTCTAATCCTTTGTTCATTATATATGTAAAGTGGCAATATTTCTCCAACTTTGAGGTTTGTTGCTCTACTTTCCAAGTAACCAGAAATTGTTATAGCATATATGAATTTATCAATATTTTCAAATATAGTTGTGTTTTTTAATCTTATTTAGGAACTTTTTCTTTACTATCAGGCCACAGAGATATTGTCCCACATCATCTTCAAATGTTTTGAAGCCCTGCCCTTCACATTTATTTATATCCTTAAGGAATTTGTGTTTGTATGTAGTGTAGAGGTAGACTTCCATATTTTTACATGTAGATAGTCAAATGTTCTAGCACTACATATCTGCAATATCACTTCTGTATTGTGTCTAGTTACCATGTACCCCTGGATCTTTGTCTCGGTTTCTCTTTTATTCAATTGACTTGACAACTTCTGTGCCAATGTCATACTGTCTTAATTACCTTAGCTACACAATTAATCTTTACATCTGGTAGGGCACATTTTCCGACTTTGTTCTTAAAGATTGCTTTAGTTATTCTTGGCCTATATGATCATTTTTGTTAAACAGTCCAAGTGTTCTTGAAAAGCACATTTTCCCCACTTTTTAATATAAAATTATGCTTATTTCTCCAACATTCTTAAAAGATAGGTATGTTGTGGACAAAATTTAATGTTGACAATAATTTTCTCAGCCCATGAAAATACTTTCTTATTGTTTTCTGACTTCTATTGTTGTTTGTTGAGATGTTCATGAGCAATCTGTCATTCCTTCACTGGTGATCTTTCGTTTCTCTCCTGCTACTTTTAATACTTCTATGTGTCCAATATTCTTTAGTTATACCAAGTCTAGATGTGGATTTCTTTTAATTTTTCTTGCTTGGTATAAATTTCTCTTTCTGTATCTGTGAATTCATGTCTTTCATCAACTCTAAATATTCTCAGTAGAGGCTGAGTATTCCTTTTCCAAAATGCTTGGGACTAAAAATATTTCAGATTCCAGATGTTTTCAGATTTTGGAATATTTATATATATCTAATGAGATATCCTAAGGATAGGACCTATGTCTAAACACAAAACTCATTTATATTTTGTATATACCTTACACATAGCCTGAAGGTAATTTAATACAATATTTTAATAATTTTGTATATGAAAAAGTATGTGTTAAGTATTTATGCATGGACTTCTCCACTTGCAGCATTATGTCTGTGTTATAAAGTTTTGGATTTGGGAGCATTTTAGATTTTGGATTTTCAGGTTAGAAATATTCAGCCTGTAAGTACTGCTCATCCCCAGTTCACTCTATTTTTTTTTTTCTTCTTGGACAATACAAAACCCTAAGAAAAAAAATCATCAAAGTACATGACAACAATAATAATATACTAACATATAAGTAAGACATAAGAGATAAAGGAGATAATGTAGTCTAAGGCCAAATATACCAGTAAAAGAGACAAAGATTGTCAGAGTGCATAAAATTATAAATTCTGGCTACATGCTATTTATAAGAGTCATTTAAAACACAAAGATAGGCCGGGCGCGGTGGCTCACACCTGTAATCCCAGCACTTTGGGAGGCCGAGACGGGTGGATCATGAGGTCAGGAGATCGAGACCATCCTGGCTAACACGGTGAAACCCCGTCTCTACTAAAAAATCCAAAAAAAACTAGCCAGGTGAGGTGGCAGGCACCTGTAGTCCCAGCTACTTGGGAGGCTGAGGCAGGAGAATGGCGTGGACCCGGGAGGCGGAGCTTGCAGGGAGCTGAGATCCGGCCACTGCACTCTAGCCTGGGAGACAGAGCCAGACTCCGTATCAAAAAAACAAAAAAAACCAAAAAAACACAAAGATAGAGGATAAGAGTGAACAGATTTAAAAGATACAACAAGCAAACACAAAACAGAATAAAAAATGGTATAGTTATAATAACAACATAAAAACTTGCTCTAAGGCAAGTTTATCTCTATTAGAGATAAAGGAGGTATCTTGTTTTAACAACAATTTCCATTATATATAAATATGTAAGATATATATCACGTATACAGTTGACCTTTCAACAACATGGGTTTGAACTGCATCCACTTATATGTGGATTTTTTTTCAACCAAATTTAAATGGACAATACAGTATCCACAGGATATGAAACTCACATATATGAAGGGCCAACTTCTTGTTTGCATGGGTTCCACAGGGCTGACTAGGGGATATGAGTATGCACAGATTTTGGTATTCTTGGGGGGTTCTGGAACCAATCCCCCATTTATAAACCAAGGGAATAACTGTACATATAAAGTTCTATTGTATGTAATAAAAAGTTGCATATATTCTAAATAATGTATACCCAATAATATGAGCTTGAAATAAAGACAAGTTAACAGAACTGCAAATAAGAGGACAGAAATCCACAATCATTGTGTAAAATGTTTAAACACATCTATCTCAGTCACTACTTAATAAAACACAAATAAAAAATAAGCAGAGGTACAGAATCAAAAAAAGATACACAAATATAAAGAATATAACTGGTAATCTTTACATAAAGGAACACTTTACCCAACAACTATACAATATACATTATTTTCATGTATGTAAGGGATGTTTATAAAACATGACCCCATATATTGGGCCATCAGGCAAATATCGATAAATTTCAAAGTACTAAAGTCATACCAGAGTGTGCTCTCTAATAACAATTCAATTACGCTAGAAATCAGTAACAAAAACACAATATGTCCCCTTAAATTTGGAAATTAAGAAATACGGGGGGGGGGCATTGGGCTAAACAACACTAATTTACTATATATCAAAACCTATAGGACACAGATACAGCAATACTTCTTGGGAAATTTATAGCCTTGAAATGTGTACATTAGAAAGACTGAAAATTAATGATCTAAGAATTCATCTTAAGATAGGTCCGGGTGCAGTGGCTCACACCTGTAACCCCAGCACTTTGGGAGACCGACATGGGTGGATCACTTGAGGCTAGGAGTTTGAGACCAGTCTGGCCAACATAATGAAATCCCATCTCTACTAAAAATAGAAAAATTAGCCGGCGTGGAGGCGCACGCCTGTAATCCCAATTACTTAGGAAGTTGAGGCAGGAGAGTCGCTTGAACTCAGGAGGTAGAGGTTGCAGTGAGCCGAGATCACAGTCACTGCACTCCAGTGTGGGTGACAGAGGCAGACTCCGTCTCAAAAAAAAAAAAAAAAACGGAAGAAAACTTCCCAAATTGACAAACTCCTGGTGACACTGATAAAGAAAAAAACAAAAGAAGGAACAAATAACCAACATCAGATTAAAAACAGGATATTACTGTTTTTACCAGTAAATGCTACAGACAATTCTGAAACTGTAGAAAATGTAGATGAACTGGATGAAACCCAGAAAAATATTATTTATCAAACTTGAAGAAATAGAACAACTAAGTTATACTGTAACTATGATTAAGTTGTTTCAGAAATTAAAAGCCTTTGCATAAAGAGAACTCTAGGCCCGGTAGCTTTCATCGATGAGTTCAACTTCAATGAGACATAATTTACACGTAATAAAATGCAAGGTTTTAAGTGTAAAGTTTAATAAGCTTTGACAAATTGTTTTTAAAACCATGTAATGGCAATACCAATCAAGACATAGTTTCCATAATCCCAGAAAGTTCCCTCATATCCCTTAACAAACTAATAGTACCCTACTGAGGCAACCATTGTCCTTTCTGTCTCCATAAATTGGTTTTGTCGATTCGAAAACTTCATTTAAATGAAATCATGCCAAACACACTCTCTTGTATATAGGTTATTCATTCAGCATATTACAAGATTCATCCATGTTCCTGTGAGTATCAGTAGGTCTTTTTTACTTCTGAGTAGTATTACATTGTATGAATATACCAAATTTGTTTATCCAGTCTCTTCTTAATGAACATTTTATGTGTTTCCATTTTTTATCATTGTGGATAAAGCTACCATGAATATTCTTGTACAAGATTTTTAGTGGACATGTTTCCATTTATTTTAAGTAAATATCTAGGAAAATAATTGTTGGATCACACAGTAGATGCATGTGTAGTTTTAGTAGAAACCATCAAAACATTTTCCATACTGTATGGAATACTGTATGCAGAGGCCACCTTTAGTCTACACATTCTTCTGTCAATGGACACATGGGTTGCTTCCAACTTTTGGCTATTGTGAATAATGTTGCTATGAACATAGGTGAACACATATCTCTTTGAGACTATGCTTTCAATTCTTTTAGGTATATATCCAGAAGTGAAATGAGAGGATCGTATAGTTATTCTAATTTTATTTTTTTGAGGAGCCACAAAATTGTTCTCCACATTGACTGTACCATCTGACATTCCCATCATCAGTGCTCGAGAGTTCCAATTTCCCCACAACCTCATTAACATGTTATTTTCTATTACTTCATTAGTACCCACTCTAACAGATATGAGGTAACATCTCATGAGATTTTGATTTGCAATGATCAGTGATATTAAGCATATTTTCATTTTTATGTGCTTATTGGCCATTTGTGTATCTTTGGAGAAATATCTATTCAAGTCCTTTGCCCATATTTTTTTTCCAGGCCAAGATGAATTTATTGATGAATTCTACAAAGCTATTGAGGGAAAAATAATACCAATTCTAAACAAACGATTCCAAAATATTGAAGTGCCTTGATTTTTGAATTCCCAGTCTCCAGTACTGTAAGAAATAAATGTTCATTGTTTATACGCCACCCAGTCTATGGTACTTTGTTATAGAAACCTAAACTAAGACAGCTATACTTTGTTGCATTATTTTGTAGTGGTTGCTGTAAGGAGGATAGTATATATCACTAACTTATCAAACTCTAAGTGTTAATATTGTAACTATTTCATATGCAATGTAAAAATGTTACAACAAAATAGTTATATTTACTCCCTTGTCCTTTGTGTTACGGAAGTCACATCGATTATAAACTCTATAATAGCAATTTGTTTTCCTTTAAGCAGCCATATATACCCTTTTAAAATTAAAAGAAAAATATGTTGCCTTTTAAATTCATCTCAGTATTTACCATTTCCAGTGCTTTTCACTTCTTCTATTGATCAAAGTTTCCATCTAATGCCATTTTCCTTCAGCTTGAAGAAATTCCTTTACTATTGCTTAGGGTACAGCTTTTGATGTCATGTTGTCTTCATTTTATAAAGATTTTTGCTGCATACAGAATTCTCAGTTGATGGTTTATTTTTGTTAGCATTTTATAAAAGTCATTCGTTTGTCATCTGACCTTCACTGTCCTGATACAAGGTCAGTCACCATCTATGTCATTTTATATGTATCTATGTCATTGTTGTGCAATGTGACATTTTTTTTGGTCTGCTTTTAAAAGTTTCTTTTTATCTTTGGTTTTTGCACTTTGACTAAGATATGACTGCCGGCATATGGTTTTGTGTCTATCTTGCTTTGGATTTGCTGAGGGCCATGGATCTGCGAGTTTGTTTTAAGTGTGATAAATTTTTGAGAAATTTCTCAATTAATTTTATTTGTCAAGGTCAGGTACAGTCACTCATACCTATAATCCTAGCAATTTGGGAGGCTGAGGCAGGTGGATCACTTGAGCCGAGGAGTTCCAGATCAGCCTGGGAAACATGGCAAAACCCCATCGCTACCAAAAATACAAAAATTAGCTGGATGTGATGGCATACACCTGTAGTTCTAGCTACTCAGGAGGCTAGGGTAGGAGGATCACCTGAGTCCAGGAGGTCGAGGCTGTGGTGAGCTGTGATCGCTCCACTGCATACTCCAGCCTAGGTGACAGAGTGAGACTCTGTCTCAAAAGTGAAAATTTTATTTGCCCTATTCTCTTTCTCTTCTTACTTGAGGATTCCAATTACACACTTAAAAACACTTGTTATTGTTCTACAGGCCACCGAGGCACTATTCCTCTTTTAAAAAATCTTCTTCTGTGTACCTCTGACTAGATAATTTCTACTTATCCAGTTTCCAGTTTACTGACACTTGATTCATTTGTCTTCAATCTACTATTAGGACCATTTGGTTTTGGCTTTGGTTTTGGTTTCGGTTTTTAAAGACATTTTACTTTTCAGTTCTAGAACTTCCATTTGATTATTTTCAGTTTCCATTTCTTCACTGACATTCCCCATTTGATCTTTCGTTATGACCATATTTTCCTTTCTGTCTTTGAGGATGTTTATAATAGCTGCATAAAAGACTTTATCTGCTAATTCTAACATCTGGATTATTTTGGTGTTATTTTTTATTGACTGATTTTTATACTATTGATTGACATTTGTGTTGTCTTCTGTTTGGGGCTAATACAAAGAATGCTGCTATAAATATTTTTGTACCTTTCTCCTTACTCTACCTAGGAGTAGAAGAGCTGAATTATAAGATATATGAATCTGCTATGTTTATATAGAATGTCAACAGTTTATGAAAATCCTTGACTTAATTTTTAATCACATTTACATATTTTTAATTTCAAATACCATTAAAGGAAGGTATAAGATTTTTATGTTTCCTCCCAAAGAGCACATAATTAATACAATGAGAACTGCTGTTTTCCATTCATAATTCAAAAACTATTTATTGAATACTTACTGTCAGTCATTGTTCAAAGACATAGGAATAAAGTTACAAATATGGCTCTAATATTAGGAGCTTATACTGTAAGGTTTTAATTTGTTTTATACAAGTAAATGGTTCTCAATCCCCTTCTGCAGCAGGATAATCACACATAGAGCTTTTTAAAATGTAGATTCCAAGAATCCATTCTACTTACTCAATTTCACTTTTTAATATGGAGGTAGGGAATATGACCACACACAAAGAGCTCATGCATGCACATATATTCTTAAGCTGCTTGAATCCAAGCTTAAGAAGATATGTGCATGCTAAATCACAGACGTATACTCTATTACAACTAAAAGAATTGATCTCCCCTATTTAAAAAGTTAACAACCTTTCAACTTTTCAATTTATACTGCATAAACAAGTAGAATAAAATATCTAAATTCTCATTTATTAATATTTAAAAAACAAAAAAAAGATGTCAAATACCTTTATCTCATAAACATTCAGTTGCTTGCTTTCTGCTGTACCTTTTTTTTTCAAGGCCTTATTCTGTTAAAAGTAAAAATAATTATATTTAGTACTAAAGTTATTCAAACTTACCTTGCCACTGACTTAGACTCAAATTACTAAAGGAAGAGAAAGCATTATTCTCTAAAACTGTGATGAAAATATCAGTTTGATTTTGAGAATATTTATAAAAAATACATACCTCCTGCTGAAGTTCTTCAATATACTTGTTTTTATTTTCAACTTGTTTCCTTAAATTGTTACACTAAAAAATTTTGAGAAATTATAGCTATTTTATTCAGTATTCCAGTCAAAACAGGCAATTTCAGACTAATAAAAATATTGCATAAAGTACTGATAAATGTCACTTCAAAATCATGGTAATTCCATTAATATAAAAATTATACTAAAATCACAAATTTTAATAAAGATCATCTAAATACAAATGCAATCATAGCTCACTGCAACCTCCAATTCCTGGGTTCAAGTGATCCTCTCACTCTGGCCTCCCAAAGTGCTGGGATTACAGGTGTGAGCCACTACACTCAGCCTCAGCATCCCTTTTTTAAAAAAAACGCATCTTTGTATGTGAAGTGATGAATATGTTAACTAGCATGATTTAATCATTTCACAATGTATACATACATCAAAACATCACTTTGTATACCATAAATATATATAATTTTTCTCAGTTAAAAAATCATTTTTATGTTACTGCTTATATGTCAACATTCATCATTCTTATCTTTGCAATGTTTAATTCCGAACTTTGCAACAATCCAATGAGATAGAAAGGATAGGTATTATCTCCATTTGAGAGATGAAGAAACTGAGGCTCAGATAGGTAAAATATATATAAAATTAAAAAATGTCGGAACTAAGGTAGCAGATTGAGGGAAGAAAAGTGTAACGAAATTTAATGTCACACAAAATATCTGGGAAGTGTTTACAACCTGAATTCTTTCTGGGAAACTGTTTTAACAGGTAAGTTGAAATCAAAATATGGGAAACTGAAATATGCTAAAAATTTGTCATGCATTTCATTTTTTTCCTTAAATCGTCACTAATATTTTCTATATTGGCAAAATAAATTGTGTTTTAAATTCTTAATAGAGGATTTTATTTTACATTAAAAATTAAATTCATGTTTTTCTCCATGAACAAACAATAGGCTTAATGATCTGCAGTGGCCTCTGATACAAATTTTAAAGTAGTGAATTACATACCAAGTATGTAATTCTTTTTTTCATGTAGTTCATTTTTTTCAGGCTGAATTTAACTAATAAATATGAACTAAAAGAAAAATAGTTTTTCAGGGAGGAGAACGTGGTATAGTTTAAAGAATGTAGAAGACCAGCTCTACTACTTCTTTCTTAGTCATGTAACCTTTTGAAGGTTTTTATCCTTTGGAGGTCTGATTTCTCACTTTATAAAATAAGAGCAATAATGACTTCTAGTTAAGTGAAATAACACATAGAAAGAACCTAGAACGTGCTTGGTCTATTGTAAGCCCTTTAAAATGGTACCTTATCTCATCCTTGAACTGTTTCAATAGTTTTACAGCTCTCAAAAGTGTAAATATAATTTTAACAATCCTCATGTCAAAATTCTTCAATGGCCTCAAACTCCTAAATGCAGCTTAAGTGGCCTTAAATGATCCACCCTCATCTTTCCCCACCTTCATCTCTCCATTCTTACCTCTCCCTACCCTCATCTTTCCTCACTCTGCCCTCTACCACCACTACCTTAAACTCCATCTTTTAGTTACAATGAATTTTTTGTACTTAAATATGCCATGCTCTGATACTTTCAGACTTACACATACAATGTTTATGTTTTTTTAAACTTAGAATATTATCCTCCCTGCTATACTTGTGTCCACCACCTGTCCTTCACTAATTCCTATTAATCTAAAACTTCACACTGAATGTGACTTCTTTCAGGAAGCATGCCCTAGCTTAAGTTTGAATTAGATGTCCTTTCTATAGACTCTAATAGTATCCAAATAGAGGACCTATGTTGTGGTCTGGCCAACACCCTTTCCTGCAAGAATTCCTCTACTATAAAATTCACAGTAGTCCTGCTCAGTTCATGTAATTTGATGGGGGCTAACTCTATCTCTATGAGTGGACATGCCGCTCAGGCTTAGCCAGGTTACTCTATCCCCTAGCCACAATGATTGACTTGGGAATAAGTATGAATTGAACTAGGCCAGAGTCTTCTCCAAGATTTTTTTAGAACTTTCAAGATGACTTTTAATAGCTTCCCAACTGATTCCAATGCCTTTCATCTCTCCCCATTCCATTCGCAAATATTAGACGGTGTCACCTCCTCAATAAAAAACTTTAATTAGATCACTGCTATCTACCAAATAAATGAAATTCAAATGTAACACCCAGAACCGTGCCTGACACATAGTAGGTGGTCAATAATATTTGTTGAATGAATGAAAAAAACACAATCAAAGACCTCATAATCTAGATCGATCTTTCTACTTTGGCACAATTTTCTTCCACTCTGTATAATATATACTATAATCATGTCACATATCTTGTACTATTCCATTTTCATGACACTCTTCCCTAAAAACCTTATTATCTTAATTTGATATCATATTCACCAAAGCATGACACAAAATTATTAAACAATTTGTCATCCATATATTTTATATTACTGAAGTATGAGCCTTTTGTTTAGCCTAAAAAATGTTAGTCTACATTAAATATCGAACATATGTTAAAAGAAAATCAGAATTATGCCATTATTTCTTCCAGATATAGATAACAGATTAGTAGTAAAATAATCCAACTTTTCCTAAATATTTAAGGTTGATGGCTGATGACAGTCTCTAGATCACTATTATTTATACAACAGTATACTTCCCTTTATTTTAGTTTAGACATGTGGTGTTGCTTTTACGATTTGAAATTTTGTGATACAATCCATTATTAAATACAACATACATTTTCTTCACTCTTGTCCAATTTACATTTAACTTCATCTCTTTTCTGTTTTAGCTCTTCTCTCACATATTCCAGTTCATTTCTAAAAGAAAATGGAAGAGTTACATTATAATAAAATTATTAGGTCTAAAGAAGATCTCAAATAACTCGAAATAAGGAAGTCTTAAAGACCACATTCTTTAACCAAATGTAAAAAGCCAAAACTGAATGCTTCAGAATATAAGTACAAACAAGAGGCCGGGTGTGGTGGCTCACACCTGTAATCCCAGCACTTTGGGAGGCCGAGACGGGCGGATCACGAGGTCAGGAGATCGAGACCATCCTGGCTAACACGGTGAAACCCTGTCTCTACTAAAAAATATAAAAAGCTAGCCAGGTGAGGTGGCGGGCGCCTGTAGTCCCAGCTACTTGGGAGGCTGAGGCAGGAGAATGGCGTAAACCCGGGAGGCGGAGCTTGCAGTGAGCCGAGATCGCGCCACTGCACTCCAGCCTGGGTGACAGACCGAGACTCAGTCTCCAAAAAAAAAAAAAAAAAGTGAAAAACTAAAAAACATAAATATCCAAAAGTAAAAATGACAAAAATAATGTCATTACATCCACTTGAATGACTGGTAGATGGACATAAAATAGATGACTGTGAAAAAACATAAAAACATTAATAATGCTAAAAATAATATCAAATGGAAAAACCACATATAAAATTATATGTGTATGGTTATAAGCAAAAACCAAATACATTCTTTAAAATATAGAGTGGGTATAAAACTCCAGTATTATAATCATTCATATGATTAGAAGTAATTTTTAAGATTTCTATATTTTATGAAATGTGATTAATATATTTTCTTAATTAAATATTAAAGAATTAGAAGGTTTATGATGCTTTAAAATTTCTGTCTAATCTCACTAAGTTTTAACACTAAGCACAAAGTAGACATTATTATAATTTTATTTTAAGCAGGATTCCACAACAGTGATTTATGTCTAATTTTTACTTCATACAATATTCAATATCAGTCCAATTTAAATTAATGATAACAAGTTAATAGAAAAGAAATATCAAAATATTTTGCTAGACAAAAAAAGGCCAATTTGTTAGTCTTGCCTTAATTGGGTTTCTGTTTCTTCCAGATTTTCTATTTGTTTCAACATCCTCTCTTCTTGCTTTTTGTTATTCTAAAGAAATAACATTGTTTATATCAATTATTTTGTTTAAACAAAAATAAAATTAAACTACTATTTAAGACCTTTATCTGTCAGTATAAAATTTATTTAGCTATATATAAAGCAAAAAAAAAATGGGCTTTTCAACTTGTATAGTTTCATACTACATTTTAAGCCTTACTTTAATTATTCTCCCAACAATCCCTATACAATAGTTAACAAAACAAGTCTCATTTGTTTTTCCAGTGTTACTTTGAGTCTGTATCCTTTGTTCATATTGTCACTTCAAGTAATGTTTTCCATTCATTGTTACCTACTGAACTCATAATTCATCTTTTAAGACCAAAATCAATGCTATAGTCTCTCAGAAGCCTTCTCTTTATCCAAAGCAGAAGTGATCCTGCAAACTCTGATAACACTTTGTCCCACTAACAACACATATGACATACTAGTTTGCTTAAGCTATGTGAGAAATTACTATTTTTATTAAGTCATAAGTTCTTAAAGAGAAAGGGTGACATTTTATTCATCATTGTATCCTCCACAATCTTATATGACTTAATAAATACCTATTGACTAGATGGTTTTTAAAAATCTTGATGCCTAAAATTAGATTAACTTGTTCTAGGAGTGGCCTCCACATTAATCAGAGGGTAGCCTCTGTCACCCATTACCACCCTATAAGACCAATATGCATATTTTTCTTCTAAAACAAAGTTTTAGCTCTAAAGCAATCAGACTTTAAAGTTCAAAGGATCTTTAGAGGTCATCTATTCTAACCTACTAATTGGAAGAAAACTAAGTCACCAGCACTTTCTTCTTCAACTCACATTAATATCTTCTTGCTGATTCTTGAGTTCTAGGGTCATATCACTTGTTTCCTGTGTGAGTTCTTTGTTTTCTAGTGAAAGCTTGTTGCAGTGTGAAGTTAATTCAGTATTCTTAAGCCTATTTTTTTAAAAAAGTCATACCAAAATATTTACAAATGAAATGACATAATATGGAATTTAATTCAACATAATGATAGGGGAAAGGAATGATGGACTGGGGGAAAAACATGAAACAAAATTGACTATTGGTTTATAATTCCTGAAGACGGGTGATAGGTTGATCATTACATTATTCCCTCTAATTTATATATTTTTGAAATTTTTCTTTACTAAATTTTCAAATGTCACACAATGTATTTCCTTGCATGTTCCCTGTATGCTCATCCTTTCATACTTTCCACAAATTTTGAAAAGTACATTATTTTTTTCAATAATTTTTTCCTCTCCATTAGACTGTCTCTTAGAAGTTATTTCAAATTTCCTATAACTTGATTAAAGTAGTACATGAGGCATGACCTGTGTTTAATTAAGACAGCTTCATTAAAAAAAAAAAAAAAAAAAAAACCTAAGTTTAACTTTTGTGCACAACACCTAATTTGCTCTTAAAAGATTTCAAATGTTCTACCTTGGAAGAGAGATTATTGCTGTATTGGTTACATACAATATCAATTTTAAATAAAGGCAGAGGAGTATGTGGCTCTACAGAGTGATTTTAGGAGCATCTATTATCTATTTCTATTTAATGATACTGGAAATTCATCAAAGAGGAGATAAAGCGTTTCACTAAGCCATGAAAAGTTGAAAAGCAAATATACTAAGGATAACAAATGTACATTAAAATACAAATAACTAACCAGTCCATTCATTAAAAGGGACATTAGTTCATAGATGAGTTTTACCTAGGGCCCTTAAAAAAGTACTATTGAAAAGGTACTAGAAATAGAGATTAGATAAAAAGGAAGGGAGAGGATGCTGCATAAACTGTTTACTTCTCTTATTTAATCTAGCACTGAGAAGCCACCAAAAGGGGAAAATCATGCTCACCACCACTAGACTGGCTACTTGAATTTACTTTTCTCTGAGTAATAATACAATAATAATTTCCCCCGCTTTCTCTCCAAATTAGACTTACTGCGTAGGTAAAATCATCCAATTCAATATTTTATTTGGATAATGTAAGAAATAAATTTTTATTTTGACACTTTATCAACAAAAACCTATAAAATAATTTAGCAAAACAACCAAAACAACTAGTTAGAACTGAAAATGATTATTTTTATGAGGAACTAAATACCTCTAAGAAAAGGAGCACATTGATGTAAAGTATTTCTAAACTTTGCGGTGTACTCTTTTTCATGTCAGTGATATGTACTTTCCTTAGCAATGAAATTAGCACACTATTTAGATCCTTAAGAATAAAAATATAATTTCAAATACATTCAAATAAATATTAAATATAATTAAATTATTATTTATCACCAGAAAGCTTAGGAATTGAGTACATAAGCTATGCTTAGATAAATGGAAAACATACTTCTCATTTTCAAGCTCAGTTTTCAGATCTTTAACCTCTTTTGAATAATACTGTTCACTTGTGGTAATCGCAGTTAACTGTATTTCCAAATCATGTACTTCTTTCTGCAAAGTAAACATATATAACTATAGCAAGTGTTTTTCCAATTTTCTCATTTGAAAGGTATATTCGCTGAGTAATTAAATCATATATTTGGCAAAAATTGGGCAGGTTATGTCAAATATTTTAAATGAGTAAATTTAAAGTGAATAATTACTATAATCACTATAATTTTAAAACAATGAACAATGACATATTCAATGTAAGTAAATTCTATCTTGATATTGTAAAGTTCAACCAGAAAAATATTTACATGTTATAAAATATTCTTATCACTCTGCCAACTAATTAATTTCAATTAAAATTTTACATTATCAAGGAGAAATATATTAATTGATGAAATCAGGTAGTATCTCAAAAAACTAAAATGTTATTATTACAAAAAGACAAGATGTAATTCTGTCATGGACTAGAAACATACTTTAAAATACAAATTCTAAAACTATAACATGAGCACTATAAAAAGTACTATAAACTAAGAACCTAACTTAATGAAGGCTAAATTTCAAATGTACCAATTAAGAAATACTTGGCTAGGCATGGCGGTGTGCCCCTATAATCCTAGCTACTTGAGGGGATGTTCCAGGAAGCACAGGGTTCAAAGCTAGTGTGCAATTACTGTGCATTTGAATTAGCTACTTCACTCTAGCCTGGGCAACACAGTGAGACTCTGTCTCAAAAGAAAAAATACCCAAGACATCAAGAAATATAACTATTATAAACCATAATGCATCATATTGATCTTTTAAATGTTGGTCTTTCTCACATTATAATGTGGAGGTTGTCTAGATGTGTTTTAAATCAATCGTAAACATGTTAATGTAATAACAAATGCTTTGAAAGGAATTTTGTGAAGAAATCTTTAACAAAACAAATACTTATACCATAATTCATAAATCTATATTCTACTAACAAAATATTTAAAATAAAAATGTTTCCTTAAACAAACCTCTCTGGCTTGGAGAAGACCAATTAGTTCTTGTTCTGTTCCTTTTAATTCTTCAGCAATCTTCTCAAATTGTTTATTTTCATATAAAAGCTTTTCCTTTTCTCCCTATTTATAAACATTAACAAATCAGGAGTACCAAACCATACACATATTCAAAGTAATCAAACTGGCCAAATGGAGCTATGGAAAGATCTATGAGCTTCCCCCTGGCTAAAATTCTTTAAAAAGAGAAAATTAGTCAATATTAAGTAAATTCAAAGACTAAACATGATGACAGACAATTCAATAGACACAGCCCTGGAACACAATAATTAATTCTTTAATTACAGATGATTAATTTCTCATCATTCCTTCTACTATCCAACACAGCATATATTTATGAACTCACTTTTTACTTTGTCTTCCCAAGCACAACATCACAACAATTTTATAAAAGGCCTCACAATAAAAGGTCCTATATTATTAATTATAAAAACTACTAATTGTAGTTAAGGAGTTTGAATTTTATCTATAGACAACGTGGAATCATCATAAATTTTAGTGTAACAATATAATATCATCATATTTGTAATTTTAAAAGATAACACTAGCAACAGTGCACAAGAAAGCTTAAGTAGGGTAAACCTAAAAACAAGAAAGCCAGTAATGAGACTACTGTGCCAAAACAAATGCAAGATGAAAAGTGTTTAAATTATGTCAAGGGCTGTGGAGACATAACAATAACCACGGTTTCACGCTTTCAAATGACTTCTATATGACCAGCCCTCACTAGATGCTTAAAATATATTTTCATTCTTTACACTACCCTATGGAAGTCAGATTTTTGTGTCTCAATTTGACAGATCAAAAAATAGAAGCAGTATTTTAGCTTTTAGTATGTCACTATAATCTCATGCCCAAAGACCAACTCTCCCACTGAAAACTTCTATAAACTCTGGACAAAATAAATAAATACATATAAATGTGTGTGTGTGTGTGTGTGTGTGTGTGTGTATGTGTGTGTAGATGGCAAGGGAGAAAGAGAGGGAAAGAAGGAGGGAGGGGGAGAGAGAGAGAGAGACAGAGAGATAACCTAAGGATTTTAACAAGTGAAAAAAGAAAAATTAACACAAGTGGCTGAAGCGGAGTGAGTTTGTCAGTTTTTGGTAGCTTTGTCCCAATGGTGAAATGTCACTGCTAAGCAGTGTGGTATAGGCAGCTTAAACTACAATAGAAATCCCACCATCTCTCTTGCTAGAGGAACCTGGTAGAACCAGGGAAAGGAGCCCTGGGAACCATGACCAGCTGCCAGAATATAAAGGAGAAATCATACAGAACAAAGAACCACCGAAAGTAATCTCCTGATTCCATGTATGAATGAATACTACACAAATTTAAAAACAACCCATGAAGCATACATTCATATACAGAGTCAAAAGAAGTACACCAAAGGCTTAGAGAATTAAGATTTGAAGCACCATTCATAGAAGGTGAGATAAAGTTTATTTTTGAATCTAGCAAAAATAAAGATAGATAAAACAAAAACATTTACATTATTCAGAAGAATATAAGAGAATCTACATAATATAACCTTCACAATATCCTGAATATAATCCAAAATTATTCAACATACAAAGAACTGGTAAAATGTCAACATTCTCAAGGGAAAAGGCAACAAATATATACTAATCCCAGTATAATCAAGATGTGAGAACTTTATCAGATAAGAACTTTAATGCAGCTAATTCAAGTATGCTCAATCAGGTATAGGAAATACTCTTAAAATGAATAAAAAGATAGTACATCTAAGGAAAGAAACAGAAAATAAGAAAAATGGAAATTTTAGAACTGGTAAAAAAAAATCATTGGATGCTCATAGGAGCATAATGGAGATTACAAGGAAAGAGACAGTGAATCTGACTATCAGAACACCAGAAATGATACTCTGAAGAACAGAGAGGAAAAATATTGAAATAAAATGAATAGCACCTCAGAAACCCATGGAACAATATAAAAAGATCAAATCAATGTATAATTGTAATCTTAAAAGGAGAAGACAGCAAAAATAGGGCAGAAAAATATTTAAATGGCCAAAACTTCCCATATTTGAAGAAAGTTAAAAATTTACAGATTTATGAAGTGCAGTGAAACTCAAATATAATAATTCAACTTCACTTACATACTGCTGAAAAATCAAAGTTAAGGAGAAAATCTTGAAAGTATGTGGTCTCTCATTAGAAAACATGGAGGACCCAAAACAATAAGACATCATCTTTAAGGTGCTGAAAGAAACAAAACTGTCAACCCACAATCCTATACCTAAAAAATAAAATAAAATCCTTTCAGAATGAAGAGTAAATAAATAATATATTCAAAAAGAAAAACTAAGAAAATTTGTCAGCAGCAAAACTGCACTACAAGAAATACTAAAGGAAGTTCTTCAGGCTGAAGGAGAACAATATTAGAGGTAAATGTGGATCTTCAGGAAAAAATAAAGAATATCACAACTGGTAAATATTGGAGTAAATATAAAAGATCATTTTTCCTCAAGTTATTTAAAAAAACATATGACTACTAAAGCAAAAATTATAGCTGTCTTATGAAGATGTAAATGCATGTAGGTGTAATATATATGACAACTCTGGCACAAAGGACAAAGTGGGAAAAGGACATAAATAGTCAAAAAGTTTCAACATTCAACATGAAGTGGTACAATATTAACTCAATATAGACAAGGTAATGGATACACATTGTAATCCCTAGAATAGCTACAAAAATAAATGCAGAGAAGTATAGATACAATACCAGTAGATACATTAAAATGGAATACCAAAAAATATTCAAATAACCCAAAAGAAGGCAGAGAGTTTAAAAGAGGAACAAAATGAAAGGAGCAAACAGAAAACAACTTTTAAATGGTAAATCTAATCTAGCCACATCAACACTTAAACAGCAATTTTTAAAGGTATCTATGGCCTAAATTCTCCAATTAGCAGTGATTGTCGAAGGGCATAAAGAAGGAAGACCCAATTACATGCAGGCTACATATAAGCACATATGTACAAATATAAAGTCAAATGTAGGTTAAAGATACACCATGCAAACAACAAGCATAAGAAACATGGAGTGGCTATAATAATATGTTAAAATAGACTTTAAAACAAAAAAGTATTATCAGAAATAGAGGGCATTTAATTATAATCAAATTGTCAATTCATCAAGAAGATATGGCAGTTATATACAAATGTGAAATTTATAGCAGAAGTTCAAAACACATGAAGCAATCACTGATAGAATTAAAGAGATAAACAAACAATTCCAAAATTGTACTAGTTTTAACACTCTTTTCTCAATAAATAATAGAATTAGACCCAAAAATTCAATTAAAAACATATATTTGTACAACACCATCAGCCAACTGAACCTATTTGACAATTATAGAACACTCTACCTAACAATAGCAGAATACATATTATTTTCAGTGCACATGGAACATTCACTAAGATATATCATATCCTGATATATAAAACAAACCTTAATAAATTTTTTTTAAAGTACATTCTCTGACCATAACAAAGTTAAACTAGGAAAGAATAACAAAAAATAACAGGAAATTCTCCAAATACATGGAAATTAAACAACAAACTTCTACATGGGATCAAAGGAAAATCCTCAAGAGAAATTTAAAAATATTTTAACCTAAATGAGAATACAGCATATAAAAATTTGTGAAATACAGCTGAAAAGGTGACTAGAGGAAATTTATAGCATGCAAATGCTTACAGAAAAGAAAGATCTCAAAACAATCTAAACTTCCACCTTAGGAATCTAGAAAGAGAGCAAAATAAACTCAAAGCAGCAGAAGGAAGGAAATAATAAAGACATGAGCAGAAAACAATGAGATTGAAAACAGAAAAACAACAGAAAGAATCAATGAAATATAAACTAATTATTTGAAAAGATCTATAAAATTAAGAAACCTCTATCAAGACTAACAAAAAAGGGGCCGGGCACGGTGGCTCACACTTGTAATCCCAGCTCTTTGGGAGGTCAAGGCAGGTGCATCACTTGAGGTCAGGAGTTCAAGATCAGCCTGGCCAATATGGTGAAATCCCACCTCTACTAAAAATATAAAAAATTAATACGGTGTGGTGGCACATGCCTGTAATCCCAGCTACTCAGGAGGCTGAAGCAGGAGAATCACTTGAACCCAGGAGGTGTAGGCTGCAGTGAGCCTAGATCATGCCACTGCACTCCAACCTGGGCGACAGAACAAGACTCTGTCTCCAAAAAAAAAAGACAAAAAAGAGAAATGACACAACACCCAATATCAGTAACAAAAAGAAGGTAATCCTGCAGACCGTACAAATATTAAAAAGGATAACAGGAAAAGCTACAAAAAATTCTATGTACAGAAATTTGACAACTTGGGTGAAATGGACTAATTCCTTTAAAACCAAAAACTACCAAAATCATTCAAGATTAAACAGGTAACCTGCATAGTTCTATAACAATAAAGAAAAATAAATCCATACTGAAGACCTTGCCAAAAAGAAATCTCCAGGCCCAAGTGGTTTCACTAGAGAATTCTACTAAACACTTAAAGAAGAAATTATAACAATTCTACACAGTCTCTTCCAGAAAACAGAAAGAAACAAAAGCTTCTATGGAGCCTAAAACAACTCTGTTTTGGAAGCTAATCTACCACGTTGGCTTCTGCTTAACCCCTGTTCCAGAAAGGCCTCTAAGATTTCCAGTTTATCTATTGTTCCTTGTGTACAAGAAGGTACTTCCAGTAAATTCTGCCCTTAGGGCATATTCCTAGTATTGCCTCTGATGCACATGTGCCCCTCCTCTAAGGTATATAATCCTTGGGTCTGGGGGATAATGATGCAGGGGTTCACCATCTTGTCTTGCCCCCACTTGAGACACACATGGCTTCTATTTGTAAGTCCCTATTAAACTTTTCCAATAAACTGGATTTGTAAGCTTCTTTCTTCAGCCTCTAAGCTTCTTTGAACTTTGGGAGTTTGCAAAGACCTGCCTCTGTGAAACAGCTTCTCAGTTCATTTTATAAAGCCAGCATTACTTTGTCTCCAAAACTAGACATAGAGAGCAAAACAAAA